TAAAATATGCCTTATTGAATATGAATTTAGTGCATAATATTTTTAATCATTTATAGTTTATTACGAAAATCACGATTTGTAGAGTAATTCTATATATTATCCTATATATCATATCCTATATATATATTATCCTATAAGTTTCCGATTTCAATCGCAAGTTGAATCACGGATCGACTTACTGGAATTTCATTACTGCGCTTTGCACACTTGCGTATTCATTAATATAATCGATATTATGAAGGATCATTCAATAATGCATTTAACATAATCTCATGGTTCCCCTTGTTACCATCGAGCTCTCGATATATCCTCGTCCTTTGATATCCTAGTATTACTATACCTGTCTCGCTCGTATCACTCACATTGATTATCTCGGACATACGAGTGTCATCGAGCACGGTCCTCAACATCGATTCTGTTTTAATCGGTATTAAGCAATCTGTTCGCTTTCAAGTTATTTCTTCTTCGGCGATTTCTAAACGCTTTTGAATTATCATAACATGATTAAAATGTTATAGAAGAAATGATAGAATCTCTGTGAATAAATTTTAATCAAAATTTTAAAAATTAAATAATTAAAGTTAAATATAAATTAAAGAAGTAATTAGATATATATATGTTTATACAGGATAAAATCAATAGTTTTCATAATATATTATTCTATAGCTCTTTAATACCTAGTACAAAAATTTTAAAGAAAACGTATAAGTTATATTTTTACTTTTAGAAAAATTGATTGAAATAAAAATATTTATTTGATGAAAATATTTAGTAAAAAATGTCTATTATAATTTATGTACTTTAATATAATTTAATGTTGTTCTTTTATATATATAATTCATTTATTACTTTAATCTCATTAATTTTAATACTTTTTACCAACATGACACATATCTGATAAATTTGATATTTGCAATATTTTTTCGCGATATTTTTCAATAGAGCATTTCTGCATTGAGAAAGTACGCAAATATCAACTTTTATCGCTTTAGAGCATATATTTCCAAAGCGCTTTTATTTTCACGTTCCTTTCGCATCCATCATACATATAATCAGCTTGGTATTATGATTACGGGCATTTGATAGTAGTCAGTGATACTTTGGCGTTCAGAATAGTCGACGTGAATGACAGGAGCGATTGCGACGTCAAAGGGCGAGTGAACTGAAAGGAGAGACACATGAGGGGCATGAAAGGAACATGTCAGATTACGGACAGCAGTGGACGCAGTAATTCCGATCTGTAATTGAAATGAATATCTAGCATAGACGTAATATCTGCCTTAGTACCATTGGTTGTCTTGTTATTAATAGATAACTCGTCACATAATATGCCATACTATAGATTGTCATTGTTAAAAGTCTCTCTCTCTTACTAACCATAAGATAATGCACTTATAAATCTTAAATCTTCGGAATCTGTAAAAAATTGAAGCAAACTTATTTAGAAAAATTTCTAAGAGCAATTTATATAAATTTTATATATGTTTTTAAAACATTGTGTTTTTTTAATTATCTCTTATATCTTTAATACATTATAAGAAATTGTACAGTATGTGAAGCGCGCGGATTATGAATAAGCTTGATGTATCAGTCGATAGTTGAACGAAGTTAAAAACTCGATCGTACTTATTTTCGCGATAAGAAAGTAATAAGAGCGATTCTCTCCTGTTTTCAATTTTTAATTCTTTTATAATTGAATGACTGCTCGCGCAACATGGTCTTCTCATTAAAAAACTTTTTCATCCACCATCTGCGCGTTACTCACTCCACATCTTCATATTTTATTTTTTAAAAGGCATACATAGCAACTTGATAAAAAATCAATTTATATTCATTTAAGTTGCACGGAATCCGTCATAGGGTTCTTATAATATTTATTTCGCTCAACATCTTGTTAAAAAATAAACGCCTGTATCCGTTATATAACAATATAAATTTTGCTCGGCTAACAATCGTCATACATGTATCCATCTAAAACGAAATATTTTCATTTCAGCGATGTATCATTTTATAATATCCGCAATACGAACTATTATGAAAAATTTTCTTTTATGGACGGTAGCTAATCTAACGCGTAAACAATACATATATTTACACAATAACGCATGAAATTGTAATAACGAGTTATTTTTCTAAAAACGCAGTGACCATGTTTTCAATTTTAAATATCATCATTTACAATTTACATAATATATTATTTACATAAATAATGATATCGATATATGGAAATTCATAAAAACTAATGCGACAAGTATCGGACAACATGCAGCTTGATTAAAAATAGAAGCAAAAAACATAATTGTGAAACACAAGAGATTTAGTATTAAATTGTTCAAAGTGCATTATCTAATGGATTTAACTCTATCTCTCTTGTATCGCGCAACCTTGGCCGCGGTGACGAAAGATCGAGCATTCGACAACGATCGGATGTACTGATCGAAACACGATTATGATCATACTACCAATACCGATACTTATAGCCGATGAGAGCGGTCAAATATACGCGCGGCTTTTTCGGTCACGGATATATAATGGTGTCGATCACCCGCTGGCTTTCTCCTTGATTCTTGCCAGTCACCGCTTAACAATAAACGCCTTTAAAGCAAGAACTTAACCGCGACAGGCGGCCACGTTAACCGACCAAGAGGAACTCTCATTAGCTCTCCTTTATTAATGCAACCTGACTATTATCTCCGCGCTCAGACTCGTCACGTCAATAAAACTTCAAACAATTTGTCGTCTCTGAAGAGCGAGCTCGAGACATTGTCTGCGATTCGCGAATAAAAACAAATACGATACAATTTATTAAAAGAAATCATCTATCTGATTAAAAAGAAAAAAAATGACACTTTTATTAGTTGCTTTTATATGAATGCCTGAAAAATTTTTAGAAAATTTTGTGATGACTGGAAGGATTGATCCTTATGTTTATTATTGTTCTTTACACGATTGTCAGACTAATAAGAACAATGAGAATAAAATTAGAAAGATTGACAATAAAATCTGCTATATATCACATGCTAAGCGAGAAATCTCGCTCCTTCTACCACGTGCAATTTTTAGCAGGCGACAACATTTCGCGTTACACCGCGATCGAGAGTAAAACGCGCTAAAATCACACGGCGGCCGAATGGAATAAAATCATGCCTGAAAAATTTTTAGAAAATTTTGTGATGACTGGAAGGATTGATCCTTATGTTTATTATTGTTCTTTACACGATTGTCAGACTAATAAGAACAATGAGAATAAAATTAGAAAGATTGACAATAAAATCTGCTATATATCACATGCTAAGCGAGAAATCTCGCTCCTTCTACCACGTGCAATTTTTGCACGCGACAACATTTCGCGTTATACCGCGATCGAGAGTAAAACGCGCTAAAATCACACGGCGGCCGAATGGAATAAAATCAACACGTTGGGGCCTGTAATTTGCGAAAATGTTCGTCCAAGCGTCGCCGCCGCGTTACGGCCCGCTGTGTTTGTTTGAGCACTTTCAATATTTATGCCGCTTCTGAACGCGTAAAAGCTTCAATAAGCCCAGCTTAATCGTGCAACAGCATTCACGGTGAGCTGCTAATCCGCTGATGAACGAATAATTGAACGAACATCGAGTTTCGCTACCTTTTGGCAGGTAGAAGAGACGGGGAAGGGAAGGTCGAATCGGGAGGGAGGGGTGAACCGAAGCATTATCGAACTGTTCCTATATTATTATAGTCCCGTGGTAGCTGCATCTGATGGCGATTAGGCCAGTATCAATTAACGCGCACCCGCCTACAATTGTACGCATTAATCTCCCTCCCTTAACGGGTGTCCCTAACAAACGGCAGTAAATCCGGCGGCTCTATCTCGCGCTGTATATATATGCACGCACGATCAAATATTCTATTAATCGTACACGCTCGTCAAATCGTTATCGCCCCGTGTCACTCGTTCGCCGCGAGTTACTGCTAATGAGAAACGACGAGCGTGGAATATTAATCCGCCGCGGGCGAGTTAACCGTGTAAATTTTTAAGTACATTTTGCTGCACTTAGAGATCTTTCCCATACACAATATTTGAAATACATATATGCGAAAATACATGATTTTATTATATTACTCTCTCTCTCTCAGCGCAGTAGGATGGACAAGACTTGAAAGGGACGAACTGTACTGCGGTGTGTGCGTGACACACAATCCGCGAATGAAATTAATTTTCCAGCTCCGCGACAAGCCATTCTCTCTATGATGCCTCATCCAACATAAATTATCCATCGAGAGGCGAGCATAAAAGGCAATACCAAGCATTTCTTCGGCAACAGATAACTAAGCAAAAAATATTTTTAAAATCAGGACTCGATTTTATTATGAGTAAATTTTTTGAGGAAAAGATACATCTGTATTTTAATTGCGATTAAACATTTTTAACATTTTGATCTTGTGTGTGTATCATAAAATACATGATTTTATTATATTTCTCTCTCTCTCTCTCTCTCTCTCTCTCTCTCTCTATTCGCACAATTATTAAAATATTATTTTATAATCATACACTGTTGTAATTTTAGAAATTTCTCCTATTTAATGTGTGTGTGTTTCTGTGATGTTTTAAAGCAGAAAAACTTGAGCATATTAAATTTAAACAGCACAAGTGAATTTGTAATGTAAAGGATGAGATATTCTAATAATTTAAATTTTACATGCGTCCATGAGTTTCTATGTATAGAATTTGAATTATTAGAATACTAAAATTTTTTAGGATGTATAAAATTATTTTGTGTATGAATTATTAATGAAAAGAAACTTTTTTAATAATATTTTATTACAGAAAAGTTAGATTATTCTTCAGTATATGCAAAAACAGCAAAATTTTGTAAATTTAGAATTGGCGACTGGCTCTGTTGTCTTTACAAAATTAGTAGAAATCATTAGTTAGAAACCATTCAAACTCAATAATGCTTCTCCTACTTAGTGTTTTATTTTGTTGAAATTTTTTTTGTTTTGTTTATCCTTCCTTTCAGATCTTTACTGTGTCAAGAAAAACCCTCGAATGAGCACTCAACTTTAAGTAGAATTATTTGAGGTCAGTTGTTGCTTCGATTAAACTAACTCTAATTCTTTCTTTCGAGATCGTAGTTCTAGCATAGACAGGCAAATGGAATTAACTGCGGTCGGCGTTAACCGAAATTGGCTCCAGCGAAAAAGTAAAGTGAAAAGATCCTTATATCTTTTCCTTAAAAAAATCGCTCTCTTCTCTAAGCATGTGAAAATGTTTACAAGTACGCTCGATATATTCGATATTCTCAACAAATGTATAGTTGCGCTTTTTCATAATCCTTTCAAGTACAATCGATATATTTTGCAGTTTATTTAGACGCATTCTGCAATGTACATATATCATATTGCGCACTCTTGCTGAATATAAAATAATATTGATAATATTTGTATAATAAATCTCAGAAGAGGAAATGTATTTTCTACGAGTTATTTTAAATTATTACAAAGTTATTTTAAATTTATTTCTAATTTTAAAAATACATTCATACACAAACATTACTAGAAGATATAATACATATATCTAATTTTGATTATTTGTATGCTATTAATACCGTATTAGAACACGTACATTTTCTAATATTATTTTCGTTAATTATCACACATTTAATGGAATGTAAGAGATTCAAACCGCGAGATAATTTAAATATAAAATGTTGAGCTGTATGGATACAACAATGTATCCGTTAAGATACCAAAGGCCATTAAAGTGGCGTTCGCGACTAATTCGCGGCATTTGCAAGAAGGGCCATGCCCGCGTATCTTATCATTGCATCTTTATCTTAGGTAACTGCCCCATCCAGCAATAAGTAACAATTAGTGCAGCTACCGTTTATTTTTCTCTGTAGCGTGTTACGCTACCGTGTTGCTCATTAAAAGGCGTACCTCCGCACAAAGCCAATAACCTTCAACTGTTCATTTTATTCAAGCCTTTTATTTTGCATTACATTGCATAACTATATTATACAAACTTTAACAGGAAACGTGCAAAAAAAGGAAGTAAAAATGTATTCTTTAATGAATTTGCAACTGATTTTTCTTCAGCGATAATTTTAGTACGCATCACATTATTAGAGATTTTTTAATTAGAGGCATTAAATACATTTTTAAGATAATTATTTATCTTTCTGAAATAATTAAATCTTGTATAAAAGTGGAGTCTAACCAAAATTAATTAAGAAATAAAATTTAATTATTTATTTAGACTGTTAAACGTGATCTTATTGTTAGTAAATCTCTTTAATTCGGCACGAGTTTATAATAAAGTTTACAATAATTTATATGATTTTTTCATATATATATTTGCATTAGTAAACTTTAAAATTATCATATTTTTACATCTTTCTTTTGATATATTTTGAAGATATTACGAATTTACCGACGATAGTTGAAAAGAGGGAAGATTGATCGCTTCTTTAATATCGCGGATTTACAGTGATCTGCAGAGGCGCAAAAACGATACGTTGTAATAACTCCATTGATCTATTTTTTTTCATCCCAAGCCACGCAACTGTGAACATTAGTAGGAAATCGTGTAATGTTATCCGGAGCGAGTACACAGTGCAACGCTGTTGCGCGTTGAAATCGATAAGTGCATGTTGCACACGAGAGATATAAAAACATTAGTCATGTTGGCTATACCCAACCGATCATTATCGTATTCATACCGAGAGCAATAACCGTACTGAATATGATCTTTAGATTCGTAACATGCAATGAATAATAAAACATGTATTTCCTATTATCGTACAATAATGTAAGTTAGCGCGCAGAATATTTTCCCAGAATTTTTTTTTTTTTTTTTACACGGCACAGAAATCAGTATAAGTAATTAATAATGCGATGTTTATTAAATAATGCACTTTTAAAAAAGATCCCGATAGATAATGTCCCCAATAAAGAATGTAATAAGTCTCGAATGTCTCATGTATATCTATATCTATCTCTCAATTTGTTTTCTGGCGGGAAGACACGTGGTGACTTGTGTACATTAGTATCAATGGAAATACATCTGCGGCCCGGGACAGAATTATACTCCTTTATAGTTTTTAATGCCTCTCGAGACTCACATCGGCGCCGGATTGTATTACGCGGCCACGTTATCTACACACATGTACATACACGCGGGGTGCACTCGCGTACAAAGGTCCACTCATACGTTTGCGACTCGCACATGTATCTATACGTAGCCCATAAAATTCCATCTCGGTTACGAGCGACGTGTGTTTCGCGAGAAGCCTTGAAAGCCATTGGAATAATTGAACGAAATGGGAAGGGACACGGGTGTTTTGCGCAACGTGTATATATACACACACACGAGTAGTGTAGCAATGTAATACGCATACATTGGCCGAAAGCAACGTCGATAGAAAAGCAGCGGAGCGTTTTAAGTCTGGGGTAACTGTTAATTTTGCCACAACTCTGTATCGCCCCTTGCTCAAGTTCCGTATGAATTCCTGCAATATGGCGCCGAGTAATTCTGAAGCCGACTTCCGCCATGGTGCGGCTGGACAGAGATTAGAATCGCTGTAATTAATTAATCCTTCGAACCGCTGCGGTAATTTTATGCGACCGCTTTATGGGACTTGGAAAATTGTTGAGCGACATATCGATATAGAAATGTATCCCGTAATTCCTTAACTCATGTGACCGCACCTCGTTTGTTCTATAAAATAACATCTATTAATTCAAAGTGTACCGTAGGATCCATTAAAATCTTAAACTCTATTAAATTTATATATATGTATTCGTGTTTTTCATATTACTTCAAAAGTTTGTTGTACATTTTTTACATATTTATTGATTGAAAAATTAGAAAGAAGCTCGTTATATTTAGCCTTCGTATGGTTAATAAATATTCTAGAATTATTTTATAATTCTGTCATTGAAACAAGTAATGAAAATAATTTTTTCGCGAATAAAAGAAGATTAAAAATATAGATACACTAAACATTCTGAACGATGATGTTGGCATTGTACGCGATGAGAATCGAATAACACTGGAAGAGACGCGCAAACTGACAGTATCTATTCACGCCATTCCTCTCTTCGTTTGCTTTTCCGCTTCTCGTCCCACGGTAGAATGGAAATCTCCCTTAGTGCACGAAGGAGCACAATTAGAAGCTTTTTGTAGGTCGCGATCTTAATTACGAGATCGATCGATCGACCGAGTCTGGCGGCTGTGCGACCCTTCGATGGCTGACCGAAAGACGAGCCGAGGAACGAACCTTGATGAGGTCGGATACATATATACACATACATATATACGTATAGATATATTTCTATCTGCAAGAGAGAGAGAGAGAGAGAGAGAGAGAGACTGCGGGCTCCGGGCGGTCGAGATGCCTCCCGTCGAGCGGCGTTCTACCACCCGCGGCTCTTTGTCCTTGTTTAGATCCCGCGCATCCCGACGGACGGGCGGGCTTACCGAAAGAGACCATTATATCGGCCCGCAAAGGCCCGCTCATTAATTCCCGTAAAACGACCATGGATCGTATGCCGTTCCGTTCCGCAGCCGGTACGCGATCTGCCCAGAGGCGGGCACATCTCGCGTGTACATCTCATGGCATAGATGTGCTAAGGGACTTCTCAATACAAAGTCAATCGAGGTTCTCGCGATAATGATGCGAATGCCACATAACGATCATTTTATCCTTCAATTATATAATCGAGATTTTTTTTTTTTTTATTTTAAAGAGACGATAAGATGTATTATTTAAAGAATAAAAGCTATATAATTGCTGAGACAATTGCAGAATTGTCATTATTCTGGTAAATTTTGAATATATTTCGAGAATTTTTCTTTTAGTCAAAAAATCGGCGAATTCTATAAGATAAATTAAGATAGTGTGTTTTATAATTTTCTTTTAGATTTTAAATTAAGAACGTTATTGTGGAAGAGTTAAATGAAATAATCGTTCTCTTTTCTTTATATATTCCGCCATAAAAATACTACTAACAAAAATAATATTAGTGAAGATATTAAAAAGTAAAATTACGCCAGACACATTCATAAAATGAAAAACGCACATACTCATTTTCTATCTCGGAAAAATTAATTGCCAATCAAATCCAGAAACGCGAGTAACTGCGTCGGCATAATGCTCACAATTTCTGCGATTTTAACAGCATGGCAGTTGTTAAAAAACTGACGGCTGCATCGATCGCTACAGTCCACGTATCACAACGTAAAGGACGTACGCATTTATTTCAAAAGTACATATAGGAACGTGTATGTGTGTGTGTGTGTGTGTGTGTGTGTGTGTGTGTGTGTGTGTGTGTGTGTGATCTTTATATATGTATATGTCTGTGTATGTAGATCCTCGACATGCCGAGGTTGCACATACAGCTCGGGCTCTGAAAGGGTGCTGAGGATGTAGATGAAGGCCTCATGGACATTTGAATTACGTCCCTTGAATACAGGCGAATTCAAGTTTGACCTCTATCCGTGGCTCAGGATGAAGATATATCCCGAGCAGTTCCACGATTTGGCTTTTCACGTGATTCGCAAATGTTAGACAGAGATCGAACGAACACGATCTTCAGCACATTCACACCGTTTGCCCTGGTATTTTATCGATTTTACAAACACACGAATCTACACGTGATACATTGATACAGTCAGATATAAGACACACTATTTCCTTATTCGCGTAAAAATTTATCGGAATTAATTAATTCTACAAAATATCAAATCTATAATAGTTCTTCGTAGAACTTTAAGTTCTACAGTTTGCAACAACAATGTTTTATCAAGAAAATACATTATTAAGAAAATAAATATCTATAAGTTCGATTGAGGTAAATCTGATTACGATATTTTAAGATTTATTAATTTAGGATGACTTGCTTAGTGATTCAATCTATATTCAAGCAAGTCTGAAATTAGCAATAATGCTTAATTTATAATCGAGATATAAGTAGAACTATAGAACTTCTTATTTAATAGAATTTTTAATAACGAATTTAAAAATCTTATTCTTATTTTAGGTTTCTAGATTTTACAGATAAAGTCATTAATTAAGGACG